AAGGAATTTTTTTATTAAAAATTTAAAAAGTTTAGATGGTTTTTAACTTAAATCATTTCACGATTATCACATTCATGTAAGCGTTATTAAGTATCATTTAAATATATTTTTAAAAAAATACATAATTCAAATACAATTTTTTAACTAAACAAAACAAAATTTAAGTATTATCGGTAATTTTTACCTAAAATTGAAAGTTCGTAGGAACCACTCAAAAATTATGCTACTTTGGCAATTGACAGATTCGTTCATGTAGCGTGAAAATATGTTGGTTGTAATAAATTTTTTTTTTAAAATAGAATATTTTCATAACTACTTTTTCTTTCTGACAAATATTTTACAGCATAATTGTTGCCGTGAATGACTGAAATGAAGAGAATGTCGACTTTCACCGGTGAATGTCAACAATCACATAGTCGCTTTGGTGAATGTCCGAAATATTGGTTATATCCGATTGGATATTAATTTATTTCTTGATATTATTTTATCCATTCGCTATTTTAATATCTTGGGATAGATTGGGAGAGACATCAGGTTTGGAGAACTTTTTAGTGCATACCGGGAAAATGTATATCGGGCAGTGGCACTTAACAAGACCTAGTACATAATTCGGACATTTACCAAAGCGACTATGTGATTGTCAACATTCACTAGTGGAAGTTAACTGCTACCAATTTCGGTCATTCACGGAAATATAGTTAAATTTTGTCTCATGGTATTCAAACTATCTACGGAACTGGCAGGATGTTTTGGAATTCGAAATTTATTTGCTGATTTGTTTGAATCATTAATTCCTAAGGAACGAACCTAAAGGAAGCACATGCCTGCCATATAATTCATTACTGAAGAAGGGGGGGCTCCAAGGAAGTTTCTTGCCCCAGGCCCCAATTAGGCTAAGTCGGGCCCTGTTCATGCGATATATCCTTTTTTTTTTAACTTCTAATTATTTTGCAACTATGGCGTACGATTGTTTTAAACTTCAGTAAATGGCCTGATGTCAGATCCAAGGAAAATATTTTACTAGAACGCTACGGAGTTTACAAAATGTAGCCATAGGGCCGGACGTCATACCCAATGGAATGCTCTACAACGCTACGGGGTTTACAAATGTAGGGAAAGGGCCGGACGTGAAGCACCACAAATACATCCTATGAAGCAAGAAGCGTTACTCTCGATTTGGAAATGATCACAGGATGAACCACACAGTGGGTCGCAGGTCGTTTTGCGTTTTCTTTTAAAGGGGTCATGTTCAAGTGACTGAATAAAGATACAACTTTAATGAAATTTTATTTAGACGAACTGCTGACTAGAGGGCGTCGATATAGAGTGGAAACTAGTTAAGTGCTGATGACACTAGGCAACCAAGTGGAGGCAACTAGTTAAGAAACCGGTTTTTGGTTTCTCGTTTGTGATCACACGTTACAACCTTCGCTTGTTCAACCAAGTCTAATACCAGAACGGCACTGGTATTGGATTATTATAGTATATAACAGTCTAATACCAGAACTTATATTTTTCAATAAAGTTTATTGCTAAAAGCTCTTTTAATTATCATAGAAGCGATTATTGACGATGTACTTGAAGTAGGCGTTGATCTGATAGCTGAGGTTCTGAAAGAAGAACTAGAACAGAAAAAAGGTGATTGAAAAGCAAAATAATTTCTTTCGTTTGCTTTCAAAATTTCATTAGTACTCGGAAATATCTGTCAAAGAAATATCTATCAAAATCTGTCAAAATGAGTTTAAAAAGCTTAGCGTTCAAGCTATATAATTTTGAATTTTCAAATATTTAAACATTTGTAATTAGTAATATG